ATGTACCACCCGGGACCGATGACAATAAGACCCCAGACCCCGAAAACGGGTTAGCCACCAGTTGAGTGGTGGCACCACGCGAAAGAAACCGAAAACGCTAGGAGGCAGAAATACCGAAACGCCATCGGAGCGCGACTGCAAAGCTGCAGAAACAAGGTCAGTTTGTCAAAGCGCAGCGGACGAGTTCAACGAAACTTGTCTCTGGCATTGGAAGTGAAAGCTCGGGGATGCATTTTAGCTTTGCTCGGAGAAAGACAAAAAAAGGCCAGAAAGTGTGTGTGGGGGGGGAGCGGAAGTTCAAGGAGGATTACGAGCGTTTCGCGAGCGATTTACGAGCGATTCATTGGCGTTCGCATTCTGTGCATTGCGTAATTATTGCGTGTTTATGCTCGAACCTAGATAATAGCTATGATTCACAGCTGACAGGTCGTTTAAATGCGTGACAAAACCGCGTCACTGACAAAGGCTCCAAATTAAACGAATGCCGCCGCCTCTCAACATGCAATTCAATTCAAACAATTGTTTGCACAGCTTTATTGCTGGGCACGCTCTCTAATTTACGTTAATTGAGCCGGCACTCGTCGATGAATGAAGCCGATTCTCACCCTAAACTGAACCAAAGTTGATATATTTTAGGGGTATTTTTAGCGCCAAGTGGACCAGCAACAGGCCCCTAATTGTGCACCATAAGGCGTTGAAAATGTGCAAATCCCCTCAGCGAAAATACGTCACAATTGGAAAAATGCTCTTGAAAATATTCACATTTCACAAATTAAAATTTATAAATAATCTTCTGATTTCCGACCGTCCAGCTGCCGTGGCGTGGGTATCATTGTGTTTGCTTGTTTTGTTTTCGCGGTATTTTGATCAAGCTGAGCCTTTTGTAAGCAAATTAGAGAATAAGTGTCAATTGGCTAACGCCAACTTGAGCGGAAATTTTAATTAACAACCCGAGGAGGAGTGGCAAAGGAAAATCGATGCCAATTATGACGACAGCTTAATTGAACTGAACAAAAGTTCAGTGATCAAGCGAAATGATTCATTTTTCATTACCAGAAAATATTTATATTTATATATCAACAAAGAGAAACAGAATTTCCCCCCGCAGTTATAGGAAACGTTGGAAAACGTGTGGGGAAAAACTGTCCACTTGACGTCACTTGTCAATCTTCTCCCATAAATCTATTTTTTTAGAAGTGAATAATATGTGCGTTGAAAAAATTAGTGTCAGTTTTAGAAATATGCTTGGCATTAAATTTAGCTCAGATACGTGCAAAATATTTTAACATTTCTTTTTAAGGAAAGTTTATTAACCATTCTTAAACTATTTTCTCATTAAAGTGTAATGTGATATAATTTTTTTTAAGTGTTTAAAAATAGATTTTTTAATTGAACAAACTATTTGTTATAGAAAACGATTTTATTTAAAAAAAAAAAAAAAAATTATAAATTATTTTAGTATATTACATAGATTTTTTGAAGCTAAACGGCTTTAAACTTCAAATTCGAATCTAAAATGTTTAGATGCAGTATAACCTTTTTTTAAAACAAACTGTTCTTGACAATTAAAGCGAAAGAGGCAAACACAAATTCATTCTTCATAACTTTCATGATTTCAGCGTTTTGTGAGCACTTAAATTATAGGATTTTCCTAGCCAGAGTCCTAACTTTAAAAAGCCATATGCGTGAGATATATTTAGCAACTGTTTATAAAGATACTGATATAAAAACAGTATAGTTGCAAGATGCACTGAAAAGCAAATATTTATGTTGATAACGTTTTTGGATGACTCACCGTTCCCTTAGGGGCAATAGCTTGCTGCCCGCTCCCCCGGCGACGCCACCGCCGCTGCCCAGATTGGACACCTTGAGCGGTATCTTGACGCTGTCCGAATCGCTGCCGCTCTCGGCACCCGATCCTCCGCTGCCGGCGGTGCAACCCCTTGCCTGCCGCTGTTGCTGCTGCAACTTTTGCTGCTGCTGCTGCTGGAGCTTAATGCCCATATTGCCACTGCCCGGTACCTGGTGGTTCTGGCTTTGTCGCCCCGACGAGGTCGGGCGCTTTATGTTGCGTCTCTCGGCCGGCACAATGCTGCTGCGATTGTGATCGGCGGCCGGCAGGACGTTCATCAGGTATTGACCCATATTTTCAGCTTCACTAAAATGCCCGTCCCCATCGCTGGCACCAGTGGTGCAGTCCTCCAATCCCATACCGATCCCGATCCCGCCATCGATGCCCATGTGGACATCGGCGCTGCAGAGGAGCGGTGAACAGAGGGCTCCATTCTGCTGCTGATGTTGCTGCTGATGTTGAGTATGTTGCTGCTGCGAGTGTTGCTGCTGCGAGTGTTGCTGCTGCGGTTGGTGCCGCTTCTGGTGGTTGTGGTGCGTCGCCGAGTGGCTGCGCTGATGGTGGTGCTGCTGATAGTGCGGATGAAAGCCCCCTGAGCCGAGTCCCAGCGAGGATGGGTTCTTATTCTGGTTGCAGAGCAGGCTGCTGCCGAATGTTGCGCCGAATTTGGTGTCCCGATGGGTGCCATCTAACGAGATATTCGATAGGAACGAGATCGCAGCCAGTCTGCGCCTGTGTCTCGTCTTGTTGAGCGAACTTGCCATTAGGCGATTAACCCTTAATTACCAAGCGAGATTAACCGAAGTGGGTGGTGTGGGCGTGGGTCAAGTCCCTGGTTACTATACCTATATATATATTATATACTGTGCGGGAATGTGATGTTGCACTTTTCTAAAACGAACTTCTTCGATTTTTCACGAACGGTTTTCCGTTTTTTTGTATTTTAATTTTTTACTGCCTGCTGATTTTGCTTTTCTTGATCTGATCAATTAAGTTTTTTAGTCTCTAACTTAGCAGACAAATTAAAAAACAAACTACTTGAACGCGACATGGTGACAGATTAAAAGCACTTCTTATTGCGGGAAAAAACAAATGGATTTTATTATTTATTTTTATTTTTATTTACTAGCGTTAATGCGTCGTTGCGTTGGTTTGGCTGCAAGTAGAAGTAAGAATAAAAGAGAGGAATTGAATCAATAAGTGCGGCGATATAAGGCATCGGGAAAGCTGTTTTGGCCAAGTGAAGCTTTGGCAGGGTATTTTTGTAACATACGCTGATGTGCGATGTGTTGCTAAGGAGAGTTTTTTTGTTTTTTGTCTTACTTATATGTTAGATATAATTTTTGTATTTGTATTCTTCGAGCAGCTAGACTTGATTTTGAAATGTATTTAAAATGTGTATTTTTTGTTAAAACTTTTTTTTAAAAAACTTTTTTGTTTACATGATATAGCAATTTAATTTTTGAATAACATTAACTTTTTGTTTAAGATACTCTTTTCAAACATCGACTATCTGAGACATTTTATATTTTACCAATTCTACTTTTTGGTAAGGTTAGCAATTTAATTCAAGAATCTAGTGCTTTTATATTTTGAAAACTCAATTTAAGTGTAACACATTACCTAGATCTTTAAAGTTAACTGGAACAACTTAAAAATAAGTGTTTTTTTTAAGAAATTAATATTTTCGCTGTGATTTTGGCAAGCGGGATACATAAATCGCAAAACTCCTCGCTGCCAAAGACAAAGAAAGCTTTCTCGCTGGCTGCAAAAAAAGCTGCATGCATGCGGCTCAAAGCTGCACAAAATCGTTGTTGTTGGGCGGCTCAGTGTGTCAGTTTGGTGGGTGGCAACAACCAAGAGAGTGAAAGAGAAAGAGAGAATCGGCCAAAAACCGGCAATGAATCTCTAAGCGGTTTTCCGCTTGCTCTTGTTCTTCTGTTTACTCCAAATCGGAAGGGCCCAAAGTGCCGAAAAATTTCTTCCAAAACAACTGTGCGTGGAAAATTTTCCACTACCCGCGAGAAACAGCTGTTTTGAAGCAGGAAAATAGATTTTCCGGGGATGATTTTACTTTGGGCCCAGCCTAATTGGATTTGGCTGGACCAATTGGAACGAGGCACACACAAGTTTGAACGTGTCCGAAAAAAAAAAATCAATGCAGGAACAAGTGTGTGCGAAAACATTTATGACACCCCCACCCACACGGACACACACTAGAGCCAAGTGCGTGTGACGTGTTTTTTTTTTTTTTTTTTTTTTTTACTTACCACTTTGGTTCTTTTTGCTCGGTCGTTGGGTATTATTTTAATCTTTCGTCGATTGATAGTCGTTCTATGCTAAGAAATGTTTCAAGCGCGTCATTTTGTTCTATTTATAGTGGATTTTCGACAGACTTTGATTTTTCGCCTTTGGCTGCCAACTCGCCTGCGCTCCTCACTCTCTTTCGCTCTCGTTCGCGCGCCTGTGTGAGTGTGCACTCACGCAGTTGCCTTCGTTGCGTAAATTATGCAAAATGCAGGCCAACTGCAGTGTGTTCACGAAAACTTTAAAAACGATCGGCTTGAGACGATTTTTTGCGAATTTATTAGCGCGGCAAGTGAACTGTGCGAAATACGCAAACGGTATGAAAATCAAATTATCGGTCGCAGCGACGAAAACATCAGCATACGGGCTTCCACAAAATTCACGAACTGAGGCCAGTGTTGGGAAACGCGCAAGGGGAAAAATACCAGTTTAACGGGAATTAAAAATACCACTGTGGTGTTCTAGAATAAAAAGAAATAATAAATTAAAAATCCATGACTACGATTTCTTTGTTATTCGAATGTTAATATATTTAATTCAGTAATGTTTAAACATTTTTTTAAACAAATTATAAGCAATTATGGGATAAAAAACTTTTTGAATATATATAAACAATTTGTTAAAAAAGTTTTTAAAGATCTATTTTTGTATGGCACAGCTGAGCGAATTCAGTATATTTCTGCTGAATTTTCATCAGTTCAGAGATTAAGTTGATTCGGGGATACCCAAATTATTTCCAAGAATTTTAGCTTTTATTTAATTTAAAACCAATCAAAATTGGTATTTTTCTAGTATATTTATTTGACTACTTTTGCACCTTTCTGGCATCCCTGACCGAGCAGCTGTTTTCGTGGGACGCGCACGAGAGGAAAATAATTGTTTGCGGCTTTTTTCGTTGTGAAAATCGCGAAAATGGTGACAAAAGCAAGTCAAGCACTGAATATAGAGATTAATTTCGTAAGTACAATAAACTACTCATTAAAATATAGCTTTCTAATCATATATATAACCGCAGGAAGAGGAGGATGTTCCGTATGAAGAGGAAATCCTGCGGAACGCGTACTCCGTAAAACATTGGCTTCGCTACATAGACCACAAAGCCAAGGCCCCCGATAATGGTGTGAATTTGGTCTATGAGCGTGCTCTAAAAGAACTCCCCGGTAGCTATAAGATTTGGCACAATTACCTGAGAACCCGCAGGAAGCAGGTGCGCGGCAAGATACCCACGGACCCCATGTACGAGGAAGTCAATAGTGCATTCGAAAGAGCCCTAGTCTTTATGCACAAAATGCCACGTATCTGGATGGACTATGGTTCTTTTATGACCTCCCAATGCAAGGTGACCCGCACCCGTCACGTTTTCGACCGCGCTCTAAGGGCTCTGCCCATCACACAGCACGGCAGGATTTGGCCACTTTATCTGCAGTTTGTGCGTCGCTTTGAAATGCCGGAAACAGCTTTGCGCGTGTACCGCCGCTACTTGAAACTCTTTCCCGAGGACACCGAGGAGTACGTGGACTATCTGCAGGAGGCGGAGCGCCTAGACGAAGCTGCCCAGCAGCTGGCGCATATTGTGGACAACGAGCACTTCGTTTCGAAGCACGGCAAGTCCAATCATCAGCTGTGGAACGAGCTGTGCGACCTCATTTCGAAGAATCCGCACAAGGTGCACTCTCTAAATGTGGACGCCATCATCCGTGGTGGACTGCGGCGGTATACGGATCAATTGGGCAGCCTGTGGAACTCTCTAGCGGATTACTATGTGCGTTCCGGTTTATTTGATCGCGCCAGGGACATCTATGAGGAGGCCATCCAAACGGTGACCACTGTGAGAGATTTCACACAGGTCTTCGATGAGTACGCCCAGTTCGAGGAACTATCGCTGAACAAACGCATGGAGCAGGTGGCTGGCAATGATGCAGCCACCGAAGAAGACGATATCGACGTGGATTTGCGCCTGTCGCGCTTCGAATACCTTATGGAGCGTCGGCTGCTGCTGTTGAATAGCGTGCTCCTGCGACAGAATCCGCACAACGTGCACGAGTGGCACAAGCGGGTGACGCTGTACGAGGACAAGCCCGCCGAGATCATTAACACTTACACGGAGGCCGTGCAGACCGTGCAACCGAAGCAGGCGGTTGGTAAGCTTCACACCCTCTGGGTGGAGTTTGCCAAGTTCTACGAAGCCAACGGACAGGTGGAGGATGCCCGCGTGGTCTTCGAACGCGGCACTGAGGTGGAGTACGTCAAAGTAGAGGATCTGGCGGCGGTGTGGTGCGAATGGGCGGAGATGGAGCTACGTCAGCAGCAGTTCGAGGCAGCTCTCAAGCTGATGCAACGGGCCACGGCCATGCCAAAGCGCAAGATTGCCTATCACGATGATACGGAAACGGTGCAGGCGCGACTCCATCGCTCCCTGAAAGTGTGGTCCATGTACGCTGATCTGGAGGAGTCATTTGGCACCTTCAAGACCTGCAAGGCGGTCTACGAGCGGATAATTGACTTAAAAATCTGCACTCCGCAGATCATTATCAATTACGGGATGTTCCTGGAGGAGCACAACTACTTTGAGGAGGCCTATCGCGCCTATGAAAAGGGCATTTCCCTGTTCAAGTGGCCCAATGTGTACGACATCTGGAACTCCTATCTGACCAAGTTTTTGGAGCGGTACGGCGGCACCAAGCTGGAGCGTGCCAGGGATCTCTTCGAGCAGTGCCTGGATCAGTGTCCCCCGGAGCACGCCAAGTACTTTTACCTACTGTACGCTAAGCTGGAGGAGGAACACGGTCTGGCCCGGCATGCCATGTCTGTTTACGATCGCGCCACGTCTGCTGTGAAGGAGGAGGAGATGTTTGACATGTACAACATATTCGTAAAGAAGGCGGCCGAGATCTACGGATTGCCTCGTACTCGGGAGATCTACGAGAAGGCCATCGAATCGCTGCCCGAGCAGAATATGCGCCACATGTGTGTCAAGTTCGCGGAATTGGAAACAAAGTTGGGAGAGGTGGATCGAGCTAGGGCCATTTACGCCCATTGCTCACAGGTAAGTTGGTAGCTAATACTGCCCCCCCAGTTTTGCTGAGTAGTTTTTATATGTTTTAGGTTTGCGACCCACGCATTACCGCAGACTTTTGGCAAACGTGGAAGGAATTTGAGGTACGCCACGGCAACGAGGATACAATGCGCGAAATGCTGCGCATCAAGCGCTCCGTGCAGGCCACTTACAACACGCAGGTGAACATGATGGCCGCCCAGTTCCTGAACACGAACAATGGAGCGGCTGCGGATGCCGGAGCTGGAGCTGGACCGGATGCCATGCGTCTGCTGGAGGAGAAGGCACGCCAGGCGGCCGCCGAGGCCAAACAGAAGCCCACCGAAAAAGCAGCCTCCAATATTATGTTTGTGCGCGGCGAAACCCAGGGAGGTGCCAAGGATAAGAAGGATACGGTTGTCAATCCCGATGAAATTGACATTGGCGACAGCGATGATGACGATGAGGAGGAGGATGACGAGCAGGAGAACGAGGCAGCGAACGAGAACCACGGGGCCACGGAGGCGGTCACAAAGGCCGACGATGAAGGTCTCGTTATGAAGAAACTGCGCTTCGAGCAAAAGGCCATTCCGGCCAAGGTCTTCGGTAGTCTCAAGCCATCCAATCAAGGCGACTCCGATGAGGAGTGAATGTTTATAATACTTCTTTTTGGGGTAAATATATGTATGTCAAAAGTTTTACAACAGTTGCAAGATCTATTTCATTGTTTATTTTCTTTAAATAAGCTTTATAATTATGCCTTGTATGTTTGATTGGAGAATTGCCAAACGGAGTGAGCGTTCCAAACAATGTCTTCTCTTTGGGTAATTGTCTCTAGTTAGTCTACCCTTCAGCCTAAAGAAGGAACACACTTTCTTTCCAAAATTATTAGGAACAACGTACTACAAAAATTTGATCTATCTGTCTTCTCCTCACTCTCCACTCACTAAAAACTAAAAAGCCAAAGTGACGTGCGCAAGGTCGGACTAAACCGGAAACCAGAGACCGTGTAACTCCGAAGATGGCCTCCACACGCATGATAAGCGCATTTACCCGCAATCGCAGCATGTACAGAAGGGTCCAGGGCGCCTGGAAGTCGTACGATTTGTTCGGAGGACCACTCACCATGAACCATAATCACAATTTTCAAATGCTGAGGGGATTGGCAGGAATTGCGGACAAGTGCGACAGCAAGACGGTGATCAAGGGCGTGGTGGTGGGCGTGTACTCAAAGGAGGGCGATGGCAAGGAGGCCAAGATGACGTCCAGCGGCGAGAAGTTCGACGACCGAACGCAGGGCAAGGTGTCGGAGCTGCTGCGCGAAACTGGCATCAAGGGGGATCTGGGCAAGGGTAAGGTCTTCATGAACGTGGACGCCGAGTTCCGGGCAGTGGCTGTGGTGGGTCTGGGCCAAGAGGGTGCCGGCTTCAACGATCTGGAGAACATCGACGAGGGCATGGAGAATGCCCGCGTGGCCGCCGGCGTAGGAGCTCGTGCCCTGCAGCTACAGGGCTGCACGGAGGTCTTTGTGGACTCCATGGAGTATCCGGAACAGGCGGCCGAGGGCAGTGCGCTGGCCATTTGGCGCTATAACAGCAACAAGCGGAAGCAGGATCGCACTCTGGTGCCCAAGCTCGATCTCTACGATTCGCCGGATGTCGATGCCTGGACGCGGGGTCTATTCAAGGCCGAGTCACAGAACTTGGCCCGGCGATTGAGCGATGCGCCAGCGAATCAGATGACCCCGTCCATTTTTGCCCAGTCGGCGGTGGATGCCCTGTGCCCATGCGGCGTTTCGGTGGAGGTTCGCTCCATGGACTGGATAGAGTCGAATCACCTCAACTCGTTTCTGATGATCGCCAAGGGTAGCTGCGAGCCACCTGTGGTCCTGGAGATCAGCTATTGCGGCACTGCGCCGGAGGACAGACCCATACTGTTGCTGGGCAAGGGATTGACCTACAACAGTGGCGGTCTGTGCCTGCGGCCCAAGGACTGCCTGCACATGTATCGGGGTTGCATGGCCGGAGCAGCGGTTTGTGTGGCCGCCATTCGAGCGGCGGCCGCTCTGTCGCTGCCCGTTAACATCTCGGCCGTGCTGCCGCTCTGCGAGAACATGCCCTCCGGCATGGCTGTGAAGCCGGGCGATGTGGTCACCCTGCTCAATGGCAAGACGTTGGGCATCGTGGATGTCAGCAAGGCCGGAACGGTTGTGATGGCCGATCCCCTGCTCTTTGGCCAGACCACCTATAAGCCGCGTCTGGTCGTCGACCTGGCCACCGTGGGCTACGGCGTGTGTGCTGGTCTTGGTGAATCTGCTGCCGGAATGTTCACCAACTCCAATTTCATAGCCAAGCAGTTCGAGAAGGCAGGCGGCCTCACTGGAGATCGGATATGGCGTTTGCCCCTGTGGCGCTATTTCAAGCAGCTGGTGACCCCGAATCTCACGTTCGACATTAGCAACCGGGGGCATGGTCCCGCCTCCAGTTGCATTGCCGCCGCCGTGCTGCACGAGCTGGTGCCGTGCGCGGATTGGGCCCACATTGACATCCGGAATGTGGGCATGCTGACGCGCCACAATCCGCTGCCGTATCTGCTCAAGGATCGGATGACCGGCCGACCCACCCGCACCCTCGTACAGTTCCTCTACCAGATGGCCTGTCCGGATAGCAAGTGATCTCCGGATCTGGATCGTCCGCACCTAAGTCGCTAGATTCCACGTTTTTCGTTTCATTTTTCTTCTGTTTTGTGTCCGAGGATTGGTGTTAGTTTTTTTTCTTATCCAGTCACCATGTCCATGGCATGTCTAAATTTGTTGTTTAAAGTTACATGTGCAGCGGGGGCATCCGAAGGATGAAGCCCTTTTACGGAAAACGGACCTTTAAAACTTTTATTGTTCGAATGAGCGTCTCCAAACTGCACATAATTAAACGGCTTAAAAAGGCAACGACTTTTGTTTCTTTTGGACTCGTGTTTTTAAAGCTCTATTGAACTGCATTCGAATATATACATAGACCAAACATTTGTTTAACATTTAAAATTAAATATTCTTGAAAACCTTTAACTACATTGGAAGCTATGATGATTTTCAGCTCAATTATTCGATCGTTTCTATGGCAGCTATAGGATATTGATTTGAATAAATTTAAAACCGTAATTCTAAACTATCAAATTATTACTATTTCAAAAAGAATTACAAAAATTAAAAATTAGGTAGTTAAATTTTTTTTGTATTTATTTTTTTTTATATTTTAATTGTTCTAATGGGAGCTATATGATATAGTAATCCTATTTTGATGGAATTTAATTCTTGAAGAAATGAAAAAATTATTAAGATTTAAAGATTTTAAGATTTCTAATAACTCTAATTTTCGGTCCCTGTTTTAAGCTTACATAGAATCAAATGCTAGTAATTCAAGAAAGTGTAGGTGGTGTCCATTGAGCTTTGTGATAAAGTATTTTGAAATTGGCTTACTTGCAGCATTTCCGCCTTGACCCCTCACACATCAACTGTCACTTACTCCAGTTAATTGAGCGTGAGTGTGAAATGGGAGCAGAGAAAGTGTTTTATATAAACTTGGCTGCTTGGGTATGTTGAGCGTCACCCCTCCCTCCCTCTCCCATATTCTCTTACCAATCTTGCTGTTGGCCCTTTTCTTGTTGTTGCAACTCAGTTTCCAGGACGGCTTATTAGCCTAATTGCGTGAAGTTGGCTTTAATGAGTCGAAAAACGGTGCCAAGCCAGGCCCACAAAAGGCCACAAAGCAAAAGCCGCCTCTTGTTCTTGTTTTTGCTGCCGGCCTGTTGTGGCTTTGAATTTATGACACGGCTTTAATGGGTTAACTGGGTTTACTGCTCATCCCTTAGCTCATCAACTATCCGGCTCACTCCCCCATTCTTTGGGCTCCCATTGCATAGTTCTCTGGCTCGAATTTTTGATAATTAAGCCAACATTTTTGTTCCCATCCCCGATTTCAGAGGGGGAGGCGATAAGAGAGGGTGCTACTTGAAGGACCCTCGCCAGTTGAAAAGCCAGCGAGTGCGAGTATCTTAATACGGCGACATTTTGCACAAGTCATTAGGCCCTGCGAAATGATAATTTTGAGGAATTTTTGCATTTTCCAATTTGGAAAGTACACTGCGATGGTTTGGGTGTATTTGTTGATTTGGGCTGTCGATTTAGGAGATTTTTTTTGGTAGTAAGTACCAACGAATTACAAATTTAGGTAAGAAAGACACTTTTTTTTCAGTTAAATTAATTTAAGTAAAATCGTTTGATAATTATTATTATAATTAATCGATATTAAAAGCAATTGACTTTTTGCTAGCATAAGAATAAAAACTATTCGAAAACTTATTTTATTAAATGATTAAAGATTTCTTTTCGAGAATTTGGTATGCATTTTTTTATTGATTTTACTATGAAAGTTTATTTTAAAATTTGTGAAAAAAGATTAATCCAGTACTTCAATAAAAAAAAACGTTTTTTTATTTACATCTTTGACCAGTTTCTTGGTTTAGGTTAACAAATATTTTTATTATTATTTATTTAACTTATCACACATTTTTGCACTAATTTTCAACTTACATTTCTATAGCAAAAAGTGATAGCAAAGGAAACTTCCCCTATTTATTTTTTTTTTCGAGTGCTAAACACTTGCCCTCGCGACTTAATGCCTTCTAACTGATAACTCTGGGACTTCCCCTCGGGTTGGAGTGCAGCCAAATGAATTTGCTAATGAGCAATCAGGCTTGAAAATATGCAAGTCGACCGAGGGCACTTTAAAGAGTCTCTCCCGACCATTAACCCTCGCAAATCCGCCAGCAGCGTTAATCATTTACAGCATCAGTCGCCGCAACACCACCGCCACAAAAGCCCAAATTATGATTATTTAAAGGCAGAACGTGGAAATTAGCGTTGGGCATTCTGAGATTCGGACAGTTGCCAAGGCAGCGGTGGGTTTGGTGGTCTTTTCCATTCGAAATCCCGTCGGCCTGGTTTGGCTACAGCCCAACAGCAAAAAAGAACCCAAAAAATAAATGAAAATGAAATCCTTTTTGGCGGCTGGTGTTTCGGGGGTGTCCTCGACTAGAAAGAATTGCAATTGTGATAAAATTCAGCGTAACTAATGCCGACCACAGCAAAATGCGATAAATCGCTGGTTGGGTTCATGCTTGTACCCTTTTTGAAACGAGTCTTTTCGTTTTATTAATTCTGATGGAAGTCAAATGGAATCAGTTTTATTTTGTAGTTGAACTAGTTTACATGACAATGAATATAATTAATTTATAATACAAAATTATGTATTGAATATGCGAAAATAAAATTAATTAAATGTATTTTCCTTTAAAGTCACGCAATTTATTTTATATTCACTTCCTTCGCGTATTAAACATAATTTTAACAGAAATGCGAATTATCATGATGGTAAGCATGAATTCTTTTAAGTCTTTTATATTCTATTTGCTCTTGATATTATTTAAATGAAATACTTAGAAACATAAGAAACTTGGTTAGAAAGAAAATCAACGTTTTTTACTGTCTTAGGTCTTAGACAGTAAAAAATCGTTGATTGGTTTATATATACGTAAGATAATAAAAATAAATTTTGAAATTTAAAATAACATTTTCAATCTAATATTGTAATATTTATGTGATCAGGCTCACTAAATTAAATACATTTCTTCATAATAATATTCAGCCCATAG